GGGTTCCTGGGCTAAGACAGTTTCTAAGAAGCATCTCACAGGCTTTTTTGCAAGGGCTTGCATAGGGATGGATATGTGTACAACTGGGGGAAACAAGGTTTTCTACAGCAGGGAAACAGAACATCGGTCTCAATTTCAACAGAATGTGTCTCTTCTGAGATGATTTACTGTTTAAGTGAAATCAGAAATTGGATACTGACAGCGGACCCACACCCTTGGCCACTGCTTTCATTTTGTATTCACTAAAGTCACAAGAAGGACTAGCCCCAGGCTGGATGCTGGGGACAATACCACCATCTTGTGTGAATTGGGCACAGCCAATGTCATATAAATTCAAGGGCCAATTACAACTGTGTTGAATGCACACGCAGCCCTCAGTGATGTCAGGAGGGTGTGAAGAGAGAGAGGACTGGGCCATAGAGCCAGCAAAAGAGCCTGGGTCCACAGGAACGCACAGTCTCACAGGGGAGCTACCAACAAGCTGCCCTGAGACTAGGGAGAATACCTCGGAAAAGTAATTTTCTGTAGCATCAGGGAAATCTGTGTTGAGTAGGGGATGTGGGACAGAACTTTAATGGACAGAGGAAGAAGGATATGGAGGGTGAGCAAAAGCCCTGGTGTGGGTAACGAGGTCTTGTTAGTGGTGGGACAACAGAAAGAGACAGGTAGAAAGGACATAAGACTGTCAATTCAGTTCAGCAGAGGAAGTCTGGGTTTCATTCAGTCAACTAATTTTTTCCCTTGGAATTACTTAACTGAACTAAAATTAAAACGATTACTTTTCTGAACAAAACTAAGTTATTAAATAGAGACAGAAAGGTAGATCAGTGATTGCCTAGAGCAGGTGAGATGGGATTCACTTTAGGACAGAAGGGGCCTTAAAGAGGGTGACAGTGTCCTGGAACGATGCACAGCAGGTTGTGCCTGCTGGTATGATGGCAGAAAGCACTGAGTCACATGCTTAAAATGGTCTATAAAATGTAAAATGCAAAATGTACCTCAAGAAAGCTGTTTGGCAAGGTTGGAGCTCAGTGGTGAAGGTAGAAGGACTGGAGTTTGATTAGCACAGCAAAAAAAGAAAAGAAACAGAAAGCTGTTCGTTTGAAAAAGGAATTGCCATAAGTAGGCAAGGCAGGACTGATAAACCTCCCATACTCCAGGACATCAGCTAGCCTGTCCCGCATTGAGCGCTGTGACTATAAAACCTGTCTATGAAACAATAAAACCTGCCCCTGAAATGCCAGCCCCTTCCTTCAGCCTGGCCAGAGGGCAGGTATGTGGGAGCAAGGTGCCCTGTGGGCCTGGCCTGCAGCCGGAAGGAAGCAAGATCAGAATCCGCCCTCTGAATGTGTCAGGAGATGAAAACTGCACCCTAAAGGTCAGGCTTCTCTAGCCTTGACTATGAGTAATGAAATCTTTTTTTTTTTTTTTGGTACCAGATATTGAACTCATGACCTCACACTTGCCAGGCAGGTGTTATGCTGCTGAGCTATGTTCCTGGCCCAATGAGTAATGAAATCTATAAGGGAAGAAGCCAGCTGGTTTGGGTCACTCTATTGCTCTGAGCACCAAGAATGCACTGGCATTCCCATGTGGGCTGACTTTCTTCTGATGCACACATGTAAAATGCTTTCCCAAACAGCACACATATCTGAATACAAATCTTTTTTTTTGTGTGTGTGTGTGTGGAACCGGAAATCGAACTCAGGCCCTCACGCTTGCCAGGGAAGCGCTTATTCCACTGAGTCATCCCCCCGGGTCCCTGAATACAAATCTTAACTCTTCATCTCTGCTATTAGTTCTGGATGAGCAAATATGCCATCTTTTAAAATAGCAACTCCCCTTTTTTAAAACCTTCATCTCCCTCTACCTGTCTCTGCTTTCCCTCAGTTCAGCTGGACAGGTCTGACAAGATCAGTCAGTCTAGCCAAAGGTCTGTGATCTCACAAGTACAAATAAAGTGACCAGCTGCCAGAGGTCACGAGCAAGGTCATGCTAATGCCATGGGTCACTGACATTCAGAGAGTCATCTCATCTGTCACAGTCATCTTATTGCTTCTGGGCTTAAAACCTTTAACTTTCTTTTCTCTCTCTCTCTCTCTCTCTCTCTCTCTCTCTCTCTCTCTCTCTCTCTCTCTCTCTCACTCTCTCTCTCTCCTCCCTTCCTTCCTGATTGGCTGGCTTGAGTTGTGGGGATGGAAC